ACTTTTGTATAGACAATACCATCTTGTGTGATTGACTAGAAATTGAGGGCACCTGTAAGTTCTGTAGCACCTGTGATTGGCTAGAAATGGATGGCATCTGTAAGTTTTTGTGGCACCTCTACATGAGAGCATGTCCTGTTCCTTGTCTATAGAATAGCTGTCTAGTGGTATGGGGAAATTCAAAAACATCCTCAGTATTAGCCAGATTTACACGGAACTGTACTAGATGAGCTCATATTATCTTCCTATCTCTAGCTTCTATGAGTACATGAAATATAATAGAAGAATCTGGGAATCTAATTAAACCATGCATCTCCTTTTATTACACATGTACATGTACAAGTCACTAGACTCTTACTGGCCCTAGACCAGGCGTCAGCAACCTTTCAGAAGTGGTGTGCCAAGTCTTCATTTATTCGCTCTAATTTAAGGTTTTGCATGCCAGTAATAATTTTAATGTTTTTAGAAGGTCTCTTTCTATAATATATAACTAAACTATTGTTGTATGTAAAGTAAATAAGGTTTTTAAAATGATTAAGAAGCTTCATCTAAAATTAAATTAAAATGCAAAGCCCCCCAGACAGGACCTAGGCAGTGTAAGTGCCACTGAAAATCAGCGCACGTGCTGCCTTCGGCATGCGTGTCATAGGTTGTCTACCCCTGCCCTAGACTAACCCACCTGTCCGAAGTGACTCAGGAATTCATTACGAGCATATACATCTGGGAAAAGCCCTTGGTCTGAGTAACTGAGATTCCACTTTTCAGAGTGGTCGCCGAGTTAGTCTCTATCAGCAAAAAGAACAAGGAGTCCTTGTGGCACCAAAGGGTAGGTCTTCACTACCCGCCAGATTGGTGGGTAGTAATCGATCTATTGGGGATCGATTTATCGTGTCTCATCTACACACGGTAAATCGATCCCCGAATGCACTCCCCGTCGACTCCAGAACTCCACCAGGGCGAGAGGCGAAAGCGGAGTCGACGGGGGAGCCGCGGCCGTCGATCCCGCGCCGTGAGGACGCGAGGTAAGTCAATCTAAGATACGTCAACGTCAACTACGCTATTCTCGTAGCTGAAGTTGCGTATCTTAAATCGATCCCCCCCCAGTGTAGACCAGCCCTTAGAGACTAACACATTTCTTTGAGCATAAGCTTTAGTGGCCTAAAACCCGGGTTTTGGCCCACGAAAGCTTATGCTCAAATCCATTTGTTAGTCTCTAAGGTACCCCGAGGACACCTCGTTTTTTGAGATTCCGCTGCAGCAGTTCTTGGGCAAGTGCAGAGACGAGGCACGAGTGCCAGGGAACTGAAGGTAGGTGGAAAACAAAGGGTTTCCCATTCCCCACTAACACGAGACCCCCAG